AGAGAGAGAGAGTGAGAGTGTTGAGGGGTTGAGGTCAGGGACTGCGGAGAGTGTGTAAGTGACGAGTCAGGAGAAGTTGACAGGGTCAGATCCCAAAGGGGAGATGGATCAGTGATTGTTGTTATAGGTGTTGCAGCATCAGTTCTGCTTCACAGCAACACTTTGTACAACGGAACAAAACGCCATCCAGTCTTGCACCGCCCTCACCATTGTTGCTGTGCTTAAGCTCATCGGTGCAGCCACTTTGACAGCAGATCTTCCCCCCTTGATACTGACTCTCTACTAAGCATTGACATCCTTTCCGGTGACTGGCTTTCCTGGTAACATGTTGGCAGTATGTAAGGTGACGTCTCGCTGTCCTCACCTCCAAGACACATTCTGGTTGCACTTCCAAGACAGATTTGTTTGTTCTTTTGGCAATTCATGGGATATTAAAACTCTTTACCAAATTAAAAATTCAAAGGCATCTTGGTCTTCCTTTTCCTTGTCCAAATTTCCCATGCATGTGAGGTGATTGAAAATACCATGGCTTGGGTGAGTAAAGCACAATGTAGCCTTCAGGGTGACAACTAGCACTTTAACCAGGTCCTTGGCAGCAGATTTGACCGTTGCAATATGTCATTTGATTTCCTGACTGCTTTTTCCAGGGACGTTGATTGCAGAACCAAGTAAAATGAAATATTTGACAACTTCAACATTTCCCCCGTTTATCATGATAACGCTTGTTGTGGAAAATTTTTGTTTTGTTAATGTTGAGCTTGTTGTAATCCATCCTGAAGGTAGCAGTCTTTGATCTTCATTGTTTTTCCAAATAAGATTGTGTTATCTGTATATTACAAATTAAGTCTTCCTCCAATGTTTTTCTTCATATAGTCCAGCTTTTCAAATTATTTGTTCAGTATACAGATTGAACAAGCAGCTAAAGTTAGTTGAGTACCTATATCTTCTGGTCATTCTCTAAGACCTTTCTATATCTCGGTTCACTTAATTCTCACTATAATGCTGCCCATTGATACTGTTTCAACCACAGCTTTATAGAGAAGAAATTGAAGACCAAGTTTGAGTAACTTTCTCATGATCATATGCAACTAAACAGCATATTCATGATTCAAGTCTATAAATTTGGTCTCTAAAGCACACTTACTTAACTACTATTCTTGATGGTTGTATGCAGGAAGATCCAAATTGTCCCAGGCTCTGCACAGTGAAACTCAGACAGAGGTTAAGGAAGGCTTACTGGAGGAGGGGGCGTTTGAGCTTTCTTTTTTAAAAAAATAAGGCCCCAGGAATAAATGGCATACCAATTGACATATTTCAGCTAACAGATGCTGCCCTGGATGTGCTCACCAAGTGGTGTTAAGAAAACTGGAGAACAACCACTTGGCAAACTAACTGGAAGAGATCTATATTGTTCCCATTCCAAAGAAGGGTGACCCAACAGAGTGTGGAAACTACAGAACAATATCATTGATTTCACAAGCAAGCAAGATTCTACTGAAGATTATCCAAAAACGACTGGAACAGCACATCAGCAGAGAACTACCAGAAGTCCAGGCTGGGTTTAGA